TAAAAGTGCATCAAATTCCATGTTTCCTTCCGGTTTTGAACCGGAGCCTTTCGTTGTTAGCGCGAACGTGCATAACCACTACACTACAGAAATGCGCAATACTCTTCCTGCACCTCCAGAAATTTGGGTCGTTTAAGAATTCATACAACTGCTAAATACGAGAAAAGTAGATGTCTACTGAAAGCGTGACATTTTTAGGCAAAGTACAGCCATACCGCTGTTTCTGTAGTGTAGTGGTTATCACGTTCTCTTTACACGCGAAAGGTCCCTGGTTCGAAACCGGGCAGATGCATTTGGGTCTGATAGCTGTTTGAGATCGGAATTTATTGATCCTTTCCTGATGTCAATGCAAGTTTTCGCTTTCCTTGTTTGATATCGTGTCAAAATCTGCTAGATACAAATGGCTTTCCCTTTAATGTTCTAAAAATGTATCAAATCCTGAAGTTTCTGCCCGGTTTCGAACGGTGACCTTTCGCGTGTTAGGCAAACGTGATAACCACTACACTACAGAAACTGCACAATGCAGCTTCCTGCACCTCCAGAAATTTGGGTCATTTAAGAATTCATACAGCTGCTAAAAACGAGAAAAGTAGATGTCTACTGAAAGCGTGACATTTTTAGGCAAACTACAGCCATACCGCTGTTTCTGTAGTGTAGTGGTTTTCACGTTCGCCTCAACAAGAAAGTCCCGGGTTCGAAACCGGGCAGAAACATTTGGGTCTGATAGCTGGTTGAGATCGGAACTCATTGTTACTTTCCTGACGTCAATGCAAGTTTTCGCTTTCCTTGTTTGATATCATATCAACATCTACAATCACGTTAATGTTATAAAATTGCATTAAATTCCCAATGTTTCTGCCCGGTTTTGAACCGGAGCCCTTTCGCGTGTTAGGCGAACGTGATAACCGCAACACTACAGAAACTGCACAATGCAGCTTCCTGCACCTCCGGGAAATTTGGGTGTCCTTTAGAGAATTCATACAGCTGCTAAAAATGAGAAGAGTAGATGTCTGCCTGAAAGTACGACATATTCAGGCAAAGTACAAATATACAGCTGTTTCTGTAGAGTGTAGTGTTATCACGTTCGCCCTCACACGCGAAAGGTCCCCCGTTCGAAACCCGGGCGAAACATTTGGGTCTGATAGCTGGTGAGATCGGAACTCATTGTTACTTTCCTGATGTCAAGGCAAGTTTTCCCGCTTTCCTTGTTTGATATCATATCAACATCTTACTAGATACAAATGGCTTTCCCTCTAAAAAATTCTAAAAATGTATCAAAATCCATATGTTTCTTGCCCGGATTCAAACAGGGGACCATTCGCGTGTTAGCCGAAACGTGATAACCACTACACTACAGAAACTGCACAACGCAGCTTCCTGCGCCTCCAGAAATTTGGGTCATTTAAGAATTCATATAGCTGCTAAAAACGAGAAAATTAGATGGCTACTGAAAGCTCGAAAATTATTAGGCAAAGTACAGCCATCCAAGCTTTTTCTGTAGTGTAGTGGGTTATCTCATTCGCTTTACGCGCGAAACGTCCCTGGTTCGAAACCGGGCAGAAGCATTTGGGTCTGATAGCTATTTGAGATCGAAACTCATTGTTACTTTCCTGATGTCAATGCAAGTTTTCGCTTTCCTTGTTTGATATCATATCAACATCTACAATCACGTTAATGTTCTAAAAGTGCATCAAATTCCCAATGTTTCTGTCCGGTTTTGAACCAGAGCCCTTTCGCGTGTTAGGCGAACGTGATAACCACTACACTACAGAAACTGCGCAATACATCTTCCTGCACCTCCAGAAATTTGGGTCGTTTAAGAATTCATACAACTGCTAAAAACGAGAAAAGTAGATGTCTACTGAAAGCGTGACATTTTTAGGCAAAGTACAGCCATACCGCTGTTTCTGTAGTGTAGTGGTTATCACATTCGCTTTACACGCGAAAGGTCCCTGGTTCGTAACCGGGCAGAAACAATTGGGTCTGATAGCTGGTTGAGATTGGAACTCATTGATCCTTTCCTGATGTCAATGCAGATGTTGGCTTTCCTAGTTTGATATCGTGTCAACATCTCCCAATTGCTTCACGTTAAAGTTGCTAAAATTGCATCAATTTTCCAACTGTTTCTGGCCCTGTGTCGAACCAGGGACCTTTCGCGTGTTAGGAGCGAACGTGATAACCACTACAACACTACAGAAAGCTGCACAATACATCTTCCTGCACCTCCAGGAAAATTTGGGTCATTAAGAATTCATATAGCTGCTAAAAACGAGAAAGTAGGATGTCTACTGAAAGCGTGAATTTTTAGTGGTTATCACGTTTGCCTCACATGCGAAAGTTCCCAGGTTCGAAAACCCGGCAGAAACAATTTGGGTCTGATGAGCTGGTTGAGATCGGAACTCCTGAGCGGTTACTGATGTCAATGCAGGTTTTGGATTTTCTTGTTTGATATCATGTCGAACATTTACTAGGTACAAATGGCCTTCCCGTTAGATGTTCTAAGAAATGTATCAAATTCCAGATGTTCTGCCCGGATTCAAACAGGGGACCATTCGCGTATTAGGCAATGGTGATAACCGACTACACGACTCAGAAACTGCACAACGCTCTTCCGTGCACCTCCAGAAATTTGGGTCGTTTAAAGGGGCACTTGGCAACTCTGGCCATTTCTTCGGCTGGTTTTCACTTTTGTGGTCGCATGTGTTTCGTCAACGAGCTCCCCCTACAGGTCTGGGACGTATATTACACAACACTGTTCGATAAAAGAAAAACCTCACTTGCGGCACCCTCCTCCCCCTTTCTACCCCGCTGCTCACTGTGCATTTGGTTGCCAGGGTTGTTTTCGTGTGGGGCGCGATGTCTACCGAGGTGGGTAGTACATTTCATACACTGTATCACTAGAAACACTGACATGTATAGCCGGCGTGATTAACCGTTATTGAGGGGGGCGTGTGTTTTTACGTTGAATTACCGTAAAGCAGTTGGTGTTTCGTCGCTCGTTCTCGCTTCTCGCGATACTTCCCATTTCCCAATTTACCGGGACGGTAGTCCCAAAGTTGCAAGGCTGGTTTTCCACCGGGGGGCGCCGGGGGGGAGGGGACAGTCACCGTTAACACCGGAACAGACCATTTAACCATCCAAATGATTTCCAGACGGGTTTATTAAGTTGAAAAAGTTGCCAAGTGCCCCTTTAAGAATTCATATAGCTGCTAAAAACGCCAAAATTAGATGTCTACTAAGCACGAGATTTTTAGGCGTAGAACACAGTCGCAGCTGTTTCTGTAGTGTAGTGGTTATCACGTTCGCTTTACACGCGAAAGGTCCCTGGTTCGAAACCGGGCAGAAGCATTTGGGTCTGATAGCTGTTTGAGATCGGAATTTATTGATCCTTTCCTGATGTCAATGCAAGTTTTCGCTTTCCTTGTTTGATATCATGTCAAAATCTGCTAGATACAAATGGCTTTCCCTTTAATGTTCTAAAAATGTATCAAATCCTGAAGTTTCTGCCGGTTTCGAACCGGGGACCTTTCGCGTGTTGGCAAACGTGATAACCACTACTCTACAGAAACTGCACAATGCTGCTTCCTGCATCTCCAGAAATTTGGGTCCATTTAAGAATTCATACAGGCTGCTAAAATCGAGAAAAGTAGAAATGTCCTACTGAAAGCTGACCATTATTAAGGCTCAAAGTACAGCCATACCGCTGTTTCTGTAAGTGTAGTGGTTATCACGTTCGCACCTCACACGCGGAAAAGTTCCCGGGTTCGAAACCGGCAAGAACATTTTGGGGTCAGATGCTGGTTGAGCATCAGGAACTCATTGTACTTTCCTGAACGTCAATGCAAGTTTTCGCTTTCCTTGTTGATATCATATCAACATCTACAATCACGTTAATGTTATAAAATTGCATTAAATTCCCAATGTTATCTGCCCGGATTTTGAACCGGTGCCCTTTCGCGTGTTCGTCGCGAACGAGATAAAACCGCAACACTACAGACAACTGCACAATGCAGACACACTTCCTGCACCTCCAGAAATTTGGGGTCGTTTAGAATCTCATACAGCTGCCTAAAAACGAGAAAAAGTAGATTTCTATCTGAAAGCGTGACATTTTAAGTGGTTATCACGTTTGCCTCACATGCGAAAGTTCCCAGGTTCGAAACCGGCAGAAACATTGGTCTGATAGCTGGTGAGAATCGAACTCCTTGATCGTACCTGATGACAATGCAGGTTTGGATTTTCTTGTTTGATACTATGTCAAGCATTTACTAGGTAGCAAATAGGCCTTCCCGTTAATGTTCTAAAAAAAATGTATCAAATTCCAGATGTTTCTTGCCCGGATTCCAAAACAGGGGGACCATTCGCTATAGGCAATGGTGATTAATCCCACTACAACGGACAAGAAACTGCACACGCAGCTTCCATGCACCTCCAGAAATTTGGGTCGTTTAAAGGGGCACTTGGCAACTCTGGCCATTTCTTCGCTGGTTTTCACTTTTGTGGTCGCATGTTTTCTCAACGAGCTCCCCCTACAGGTCCTGGGACGTATATTACACAACACTGTCGTAAAAAAAACTCACTTGCGGGCACCCCTCCTCCCCCCTTTCTACCCCGCTGCTCATCGTGCATTTGTTGCCGGGTTTTTTCGTGTGGCGCGATGTCTACCGAGGTGGGTAGTACATTATACACTGTATCATAGAAACACTGACATGTATAGCCGGCGTGATTAACCGTTATTGAGGGGGGCGTGTGGTGGTTTACGTTGAATTACCGTAAAGCAGTTTGTGTTTCTCGCTCGTTCTCGCTTCTCGCGGATACTTCCCATTTCCAATTTACCGGGACGGTAGTCCCAAAGTTGCAAGGCTGGTTTTCCACCGGGGGGCGCCGGGGGGAGCGGGGACAGTCACCGTTAACACCGGAACAGACCATTTAAACCATCCAAATGATTTCCAGACGGGTTTATTAAGTTGAAAAAGTTGCCAAGTGTCCCTTTAAGAATTCATATAGCTGCTAAAAACGCCAAAATTAGATGTCTACTGAAAGCACGAGATTTTTAGGCGTAGAACACAGTCGCAGCTGTTTCTGTAGTGTAGTGGTTATCACGTTCGCTTTACACGCGAAAGGTCCCTGGTTCGAAACCGGGCAGAAGCATTTGGGTCTGATAGCTGTTTGAGATCGGAATTTATTGATCCTTTCCTGATGTCAATGCAAGTTTTCGCTTCTCCGTTTTGATATCATGTCAAAATCTGGCTAGATACAAATGGCTTTCCCTTTAATGTTCTAAAAATGTATCAAATCCTGAAGTTTCTGCCCGGGTTTCGAACCGGGGGACCTTTCGCGTGTTTGGCAAACGTGATAACCACTACACTACAGAAACTGCACAATGCAGCTTCCTGCATCTCCAGAAATTTGGGTCATTTAAGAATTCATACAGCTGCTAAAAACGAGAAAAGTAGATTGTCTACTGAAAGCGTGACATTTTTAGGCAAAGTACAGCCATACCGCTGTTTCTGTAGTGTAGTGGTTATCACGTTCGCCTCACACGCGAAAAGTTCCCGGGTTCGAAACCGGGCAAGAAACATTTGGGTCTGATAGCCTGGTTGAGATCGGAACTCATTGCTTACTTTCCTGACGTCAATGCAAGTTTTCGCTTTCCTTGTTTGATATCATATCAACATCTACAATCACGTTAATGTTATAAAATTGCATTAAATTCCCAATGTTTCTGCCCCGGTTTTGAACCGGAGCCCTTTCGCGTGTTAGGCGAACGTGATAACCGCAACACTACAGAAACTGCACAATGCAGCTTCCTGCACCTCCAGAAATTTGGGTCGTTTAAGAATTCATACAGCTGCTAAAAATGAGAAAAGTAGATGTCTGCTGAAAGTACGACATTTTCAGGCAAAGTACAAATATACAACCTGTTTCTGTAGTGTAGTGGTTATCACGTTCGCCTCACCACGCGAAAGGTCCCCCGGTTCGAAACCGGGCAGAAACATTCGGGTCTGATAGCTGGTGAGATCGGAACTCATTGTTACTTTCCTGATGTCCAAGGCAAGTTTTCGCTTTCCCTTGTTTGATATCATATCAACATCTACTAGATACAAATGGCTTTCCCTTCTAAAAAATTCTAAAAATGTATCAAAATCCATATGTTTCTGCCCGGATTCAAACAGGGGACCAATCGCGTGTTAGCCGAACGTGATAACCACTACACTACAGAAACTGCACACAACGCAGCTTCCTGCGCCTCCAGAAAATGTGGGCTCATTTAAGAATTCATATAGCTGCTAAAAACGAGAAAATTAGATGGCTACTGAAAGCTCGAAATTATTAGGCAAAGTACAGCCATCCAGCTGTTTCTGTAGTGTAGTGGTTATCTCACTCGCTTTACGCGCGAAACGTCCCTGGTTCGAAACCGGGCAGAAGCATATGGGTCTGATAGCTATTAGAGATCGAAACTCATTGTTACTTTCCTGATGTCAATGCAAGTTTTCGCTTTCCTTGTTTGATATCATATCAACATCTACCAATCACGTTAATGTTCTAAAAGTGCATCAAATTCCTGTTTCCTTCCGGTTTTGAACCGGAAGCCCTTTCGCGTGTTAGGCGAACGTGATAACCACTACACTACAGAAACTGCGCAATACATCTTCCTGCACCTCCCAGAAATTTGGGTCGTTAAGAAATTCATACAACTGCTAAATACGAGAAAGTAGATGTCTACTGAAAGCGTTGACATTTTTAGGCAAAGTACAGCCATACCCGTGTTTCTGTAGTGTTAGTGGTGTATCACGTTCTCTTTACACGCGAAAGGTCCCTGGTTCGAAACCGGGCAGATGGCATTGGGTCTGATAGCTGTTTGAGATCGGAATTTATTGATCCCTTTCCTGATGTCCCAATGCAAGTTTTCGCTTTCCTTGTTTGATATCGTGTCAAATCTGCTAGACTACAAATGGCTTTCCCTTTAATGTTCTAAAAATGTATCAAATCCCTGAAGTTTCTGCCCGGTTTCGAACGGGGAACCTTTCGCGATGTTAGGCAACGTGATAACCACTACACTACAGAAACTGCACAATGCAGCTTCCTGCACCACCAGAAATTTGGGTCATTTAAGAATTCATACAGCTGCTAAAAAACGAGAAAAGTAGATGTCTACTGAAAGCGTGACATTTTTTAGGCAAACTACTAGCCATACCGCTGTTTCTGTAGTGTAGTGGTTTTCACGTTCGCCTCAAACAAGAAAGGTCCCCGGGTTCGAAAACCGGGCAGAAACATTTGGGTCTGATAGCTGGTTGAGATCGGAACTCATTGTTACTTTCCTGACGTCAATGCAAGTTTTCGCTTTCCTGTTTTGATATCATATCAACATCTACAATCACGTTAATGTTATAAAATTGCATTAAATTCCCAATGTTTCTGCCCCGGTTTTGAACCGGAGCCCTTTCGCGTGTTAGGCGAACGTGATAACCGCAACACTACAGAAACTGCACAATGCAGCTTCCTGCACCTCCGGAAATTTGGGTCGTTTAAGAATTCATACAGCTGCTAAAAATGAGAAGAGTAGATGTCTGCTGAAAGTACGACATTTTCAGGCAAAGTACAAATATACAGCTGTTTCTGTAGTGTAGTGGTTATCACGTTCGCCTCACACGCGAAAGGTCCCCTGTTCGAAACCGGGCAGAAACATTTGGGTCTGATAGCTGGTGAGATCGGAACTCATTGTTACTTTCCTGATGTCAAGGCAAGTTTTCGCTTTCCTTGTTTGATATCATATCAAACATCTACTAGATACAAATGGCTTTCCCCTTCTAAAAAATTCTAAAAATGTATCAAAATCCATATGTTTCTGGCCCGGATTCAAACAGGGGACCATTCGCGTGTTAGTCCGAACGTGAATAACCACTACACTACAGAAACTGCACCCAACGCAGCTTCCTGCGCCCTCCAGAAATTTGGGTCATTTAAGAATTCATATAGCTGCTAAAAACGAGAAAATTAGATGGCTACTGAAAGCTCGAAATTATTAGGCAAAGTACAGCCCATCCAGCTTTTTCTGTAGTGTAGTGGTTATCTCATTCGCTTTACGCGCGAAACGTCCCTGGTTCGAAACCGGGCAGAAGCATTTGGGTCTGATAGCTATTTGAGATCGAAACTCATTGTTACTTTCCTGATGTCAATGCAAGTTTTCGCTTTCCTTGTTTGATATCATATCAACATCTACACTCACGTTAATGTCTCTAAAAGTGCCATCAAATTCCCAATGTTTCTGTCCGGTTTTGAACCAGAGCCCTTTCGCGTGTTAGGCGAACGTGATAACCACTACACTACAGAAACTGCGCAATACATCTTCCTGCACCTCCAGAAATTTGGGTCGTTTAAGAATTCATACAACTGCTAAAAACGAGAGAAAGTAGATGTCTACTGAAAGCGTGACATTTTTAGGCAAAGTACAGCCATACCGCTGTTTTCTGTAGTGTAGTGGTTATCCACATTCGCTTTACACGCGAAAGGTCCCTGGTTCGTAACCGGGCAGAAACATTGGGTCTGATAGCTGGTTGAGGATTGGAACTCCTTGATCCTTTCCTGATGTCAATGCAGATTTTGGCTTTCCTAGTTTGATATCGTGTCAACATCTCCCAATTGCTTTCACGTTAAAGTTCTAAAATTGCATCAATTTCCAACTGTTTCTGCCCGGTTTCGAACCAGGGACCTTTCGCGTGTTAGGCGAACGTGCTAACCACTACACTACAGAAACTGCACAATACATCTTCCTGCACCTCCAGAAATTTGGGTCATTTAAGAATTCATACAGCTGCTAAAACGAGAAAGTAGATGTCTACTGAAAGCGTGACATTTTTAGTGGTTATCACGTTTGCCTCACATGCGAAAGTTCCCAGGTTCGAAACCGGCCAGAAACATTTGGGTCTGCATAGCTGGTTGAGATCGGAAACTCCTTGATCGTTTCCTGATGTCAATGCAGGTTTTGGGATTTCTTTGTTTGATATCATGTCAACATTTACTAGGTACAAATGCCTTCCCGTTAATGTTCTAAAAATGTATCAAATTCCAGATGTTTCTGCCCGGAATTCAACAGGGACATTCGCGTATTAGGCAATGGTGATAACCACTACACGACAGAAACTGCACAACGCAGCTTCCTGCACCTCCAGAAATTTGGGTCGTTTAAAGGGGCACTTGGCAACTCTGGCCATTTCTTTCGCTGGTTTTCACTTTTGTGGTCGCATGTTTTCTCAACGAGCTCCCCCTACAGGTCTGGGACGTCTATTACACAACACTGTCGTAAAAAAAACTCACTTGCGGCACCCTCCTCCCCCTTTCTACCGCTGCTCATGTGCATTTGTTGCCCGGGTTTTTTCGTTGTGGCGCGATGTCTACCGAGGTGGGTAGTACATTATACACTGTATCATAGAACACTGACATGTATAGCCGGCGGTGATTAACCGTTATTGAGGGGGGCGTGTGTGTTTACGTTGAATTACCGTAAAGCAGTTTGTGTTCTCTCCGCTCGTTCTCGCTTCTCGCGATACTTCCCCATTTCCAATTTACCGGGACGGTAGTCCCAAAGTTGCAAGGCTGGTTTTTCCACCGGGGGGCGCCGGGGGGGAGGCGGGGGACAGTCACCGTTAACACCGGAACAGACCATTTAACCATCCAAATGATTTCCAGACGGGTTTATTAGTTGAAAAAGTTGCCAAGTGCCCCTTTAAGAATTCATATAGCTGCTAAAAACGCCAAAATTAGATGTCTACTGAAAGCACGAGATTTTTAGGCGTAGAACACAGTCGCAGCTGTTTCTGTAGTGTAGTGGTTATTACGTTCGCTTTACACGCGAAAGGTCCCTGGTTCGAAACCGGGCAGAAGCATTTGGGTCTGATAGCTGTTTGAGATCGGAATTTATTGATCCCTTTCCTGATGTCAATGCAAGTTTTCGCTTTCCTTGTTTGATATCATGTCAAAATCTGCTAGATACAAATGGCTTTCCTTTAATGTTCTAAAAATGTATCAAATCCTGAAGTTTCTGCCCGGTTTCGAACCGGGGACCTTTCGCGTGTTTGGCAAACGTGATAAACCACTACACTACAGAAACTGCACAATGCAGCTTCCTGCATCTCCAGAAATTTGGGTCATTTAAGAATTCATACAGCTGCTAAAAACGAGAAAAGTAGATGTCTACTGAAAGCGTGGACATTTCTTAGGGCAAAGTACAGCCATACCGCTGTTTCTGTAGTGTAGTGGTTATCACGTTCGCCTCTCACACGCGAAAAGTTCCCGGGTTCGAAACCGGGCAGAACATTTGGGTCTGATAGGCTGGTTGAGATCGGAACTCATTGTTACTTTCCTGACGTCAATGCAAGTTTTCCGCTTTCCTTGTTTGATATCATATCAACATCTACAATCCACGTTAATCGTTATAAAATTGCATTAAATTCCCAATGTTCTGCCCCCCGGTTTTTGAACCGGAGCCCTTTCGCGTGTTAGGCGAACGTGATAACCGCAACACTACAGAAACATGCACAATGCAGCTTCCTGCACCCTCCAGAAATTTGGGTCGTTTAAGAATTCATACAGCTGCTAAAAATGAGAAAAGTAGATGTCTGCTGAAAGTACGACATTTTCAGGCAAAGTACAAATATATAACTGTTTCTGTAGCTGTAGTGGTTATCACGTTCGCCCTCCACTCGCGAAAGGTCCCCGGTTCGAAACCGGGGCAGAAACATTCGGGTCTGATAGCTGGTGAGATCGGAACTCATTGTTACTTTCCTGATGTCAAGGCAAGTTTTCGCTTTTCCTTGTTTGATATCATATCAACATCTACTAGATACAAATGGCTTTCCCTTCTAAAAAATTCTAAAATGTATCAAAATCCATATGTTTCTGCCCGGATTCAACAGGGGACCATTCGCAGTGTTAGCCGAACGTGATAACCACTACACCTACAGAAACTGCACAAACGCAGCTTCCTGCGCCTCCAGAAATGTGGGTCATTTAAGAATACATATAGCTGCTAAAAACGAGAAAATTAGATGGCTACTGAAAGCTCGAAATTATTAGGCAAAGTACAGCCTTCCAGCTGTTTCTGTAGTGTAGTGGTTATCTCATTCGCTTTACGCGCGAAACGTCACTGGTTCGAAACCGGGCAGAAGCATTTGGGTCTGATAGCTATTTGAGATCGAAACTCATTGTTACTTTCCTGATGTCAATGCAAGTTTTCGCTTTCCTTGTTTGATATCATATCAACCATCTACAATCACGTTAATGTTCTAAAAGTGCATCAAATTCCTGTTTCCTTCCGGTTTTGAACCGGAGCCCCTTTCGCGTGTTAGGCGAACGTGATAACCACTACACTACAGAAACTGCGCAATACATCTTCCTGCACCTCCAGAAATTTGGGTCGTTTTAAGAATTCATACAACTGCTAAATACGAGAAAAGTAGATGTCTACTGAAAGCGTGACATTTTTAGGCAAAGTACAGCCATACCGCTGTTTCTGTAGTGTAGTGGTTATCACGTTCTCTTTACACGCGAAAGGTCCCTGGTTCCGAAACCGGGCAGATGCATTTGGGTCTGATAGCTGTTTGAGATCGGAATTTATTGATCCTTTCCTGATGTCAATGCAAGTTTTCGCTTTCCTTGTTTGATATCGTGTCAAAATCTGCTAGATACAAATGGCTTTCCCTTTAATGTTCTAAAAATGTATCAAATCCTGAAGTTTCTGCCCGGTTTCGAACCGGTGAACCTTTCGCGTGTTAGGCAAACGTGATAACCACTACACTACAGAAACTGCACAATGCAGCTTCCTGCACCTCCAGAAATTTGGGTCATTTAAGAATTCATACAGCTGCTAAAAACGAGAAAAGTAGATGTCTACTGAAAGCGTGACATTTTTAGGCAAACTACAGCCATACCGCTGTTTCTGTAGTGTAGTGGTTTTCACGTTCGCCCTCAAACAAGAAAGGTCCCCGGGGTTCGAAACCGGGCAGAAACATTTGGGTCTGATAGCTGGTTGAGATCGGAACTCATTGTTACTTCCCTGACGTCAATGCAAGTTTTCGCTTTCCTTGTTTGATATCATATCAACATCTACAATCACGTTAATGTTATAAAATTGCATTAAATTCCCAATGTTTCTGCCCGGTTTTGAACCGGAGCCCTTTCGCGTGTTAGGCCGAACGTGATAACCGCAACACTACAGAAACTGCACAATGCAGCTTCCTGCACCTCCGGAAATTTGGGTCGTTTAAGAATTCATACAGCTGCTAAAAATGAGAAGAGTAGATGTCTGCCTGAAAGTACGACATTTTCAGGCAAAGTACAAATATACAGCTGTTTCTGTAGTGTAGTGGTTATCACGTTCGCCTCACACGCGAAAGGTCCCCTGTTCGAAACCGGGCAGAAACATTTGGGTCTGATAGCTGGTGAGATCGGAACTCATTGTTACTTTCCTGATGTCAAGGCAAGTTTTCGCTTTCCTTGTTTGATATCATATCAACATCTACTAGATACAAATGGCTTTCCCTTCTAAAAAATTCTAAAAATGTATCAAAATCCATATGTTTCTGCCCGGATTCAAACAGGGGACCATTCGCGTGTTAGCCGAACGTGATAAACCACTACACTACAGAAACTGCACAACGCAGCTTCCTGCGCCTCCAGAAATTTGGGTCATTTAAGAATTCATATAGCTGCTAAAAACGAGAAAATTAGATGGCTACTGAAAGCTCGAAATTATTAGGCAAAGTACAGCCATCCAGCTTTTTCTGTAGTGTAGTGGTTATCTCATTCGCTTTACGCGCGAATCGTCCCTGGTTCGAAACCGGGCAGAAGCATTTGGGTCTGATAGCTATTTGAGATCGAAACTCATTGTTACTTTCCTGATGTCAATGCAAGTTTTCGCTTTCCTCTGTTTGATATCATATCAACATCTACAATCACGTTAATGTTCTAAAAGTGCATCAAATTCCCAATGTTTCTGTCCGGTTTTGAACCAGAGCCCTTTCGCGTGTTAGGCGAACGTGATAACCACTACACTACAGAAACTGCGCAATACATCTTCCTGCACCTCCAGAAATTTGGGTCGTTTAAGAATTCATACAACTGCTAAAAACGAGAAAAGTAGATGTCTACTGAAAGCGTGACATTTTTAGGCAAAGTACAGCCATACCGCTGTTTCTGTAGTGTAGTGGTTATCACATTCGCTTTACACGCGAAAGGTCCCTGGTTTGTAACCGGGCAGAAACAATTGGGTCTGATAGCTGGTTGAGATTGGAACTCCTTGATCCTTTCCTGATGTCAATGCAGATTTTGGCTTTCCTAGTTTGATATCGTGTCAACATCTCCCCAATTGCTTTCACGTTAAAGTTCTAAAATTGCATCAATTTCCAACTGTTTCTGCCCGGTTTCGAACCAGGGACCTTTCGCGTGTTAGGCGAACGTGCTAACCACTACACTACAGAAACTGCAACAATACATCTTCCTGCACCTCCAGAAATTTGGGTCATTTAAGAATTCATACAGCTGCTAAAAACGAGAAAAGTAGATGTCTACTGAAAGCGTGACATTTTTAGTGGTTATCACGTTTGCCTCACATGCGAAAGTTCCCAGGTTCGAAACCGGGCAGAAACATTTGGGGTCTGATAGCTGGGGTTGAGATCGGAACTCCTTGATCGTTTCCTGATGTCAATGCAGGTTTTGGATTTTCTTGTTTGATATCATGTCAACATTTACTAGGTACAATGGCCTTCCCGTTAATGTTCTAAAATGTATCAAATTCCAGATGTTTCTGCCCGGATTCAAACAGGGGACCATTCGCGTATTAGGCAATGGTGATAACCCACTACACGACAGAAACTGCACAACGCAGCTTCCTGCACCTCCAGAAATTTGGGTCGTTTAAAGAGGGCACTTGGCAACTCTGGCCATTTCTTCGCTGGTTTTCACTTTTGTGGGTCGCATGTTTTCTCAACGAGCTCCCCCCTATCAGGTCTGGGACGTATATTACACAACACTGTCGTAAAAAAAACTCACTTGCGGCACCCCTCCTCCCCCTTTCTACCGCTGCTCATGTGCATTTGTTGCCGGGTTTTTTTTCGTGTGGCGCGATGTCTACCGAGGTGGGTAGTACATTATACACTGTATCATAGAACACTGACATGTATAGCTGGCGTGATTAACCGTTATTGAGGGGGGGCGTGTGTGTTTACGTTGAATTACCGTAAAGCAGTTTGTGTTTCTCGCTCGTTCTCGCTTCTCGCGATACTTCCCATTTCCAATTTACCGGGACGGTAGTCCCCAAAGTTGCAAGGCTGGTTTTCCACCGGGGGGCGCCGGGGGGAGCGGGGGACAGTTCCACCGGTTAACACCGGAACAGACCATTTAACCATCCAAATGATTTCCAGACGGGTTTATTAAGTTGAAAAAGTTGCCAAGTGCCCCTTTAAGAATTCATATAGCTGCTAAAAACGCCAAAATTAGATGTCTACTGAAAGCACGAGATTTTTAGGCGTAGAACACAGTCGCAGCTGTTTCTGTAGTGTAGTGGTTATCACGTTCGCTTTACACGCGAAAGGTCCCTGGTTCGAAACCGGGCAGAAGCATTTGGGTCTGATAGCTGTTTGAGATTGGAATTTATTGATCCTTTCCTGATGTCAATGCAAGTTTTCGCTTTCCTTGTTTGATATCATGTTCAAAATCTGCTAGATACAAATGGCTTTCCCTTTAATGTTCTAAAAATGTATCAAATCCTGAAGTTTCTGCCAGGTTTCGAACCGGGGACCTTTCGCGGTGTTTGGCAAACGTGATAACCACTACACTACAGAAACTGCACAAATGCAGCTTCCTGCATCTCCAGAAATTTGGGTCATTTAAGAATTCATACCAGCTGCTAAAAACGAGAAAAGTAGATGTCTACTGAAAGCGTGACATTTTTAGGCAAAGTACAGCCATACCGCTGTTTCTGTAGTGTAGTGGTTATCACGTTCGCCTCACACGCGAAAAGTTCCCGGGTTCGAAACCGGGCCAGAAACATTTGGGTCTGATAGCTGGTTGAGATCGGAAACTCATTGTTACTTTCCTGACGTCAATGCAAGTTTTCGCTTTCCTTGTTTGATATCATATCAACATCTACAATCACGTTAATGTTATAAAATTGCATTAAATTCCCAATGTTTCTGCCCGGTTTTGAACCGGAGCCCTTTCGCGTGTTAGGCGAACGTGATAACCGCAACACTACAGAAAACTGCACAATGCAGCTTCCTGCACCTCCCAGAAATTTGGGTAGTTTAAGAATTCATACAGCTGCTAAAAATGAGAAAAGTAGATGTCTGCTGAAAGTACGACATTTTTCAGGCAAAGTACAAAATATACAACTGTTTCTGTAGTGTAGTGGTTATCACGTTCGCCTCACACGCGAAAGGTCCCCGGTTCGAAACCGGGCAGAAACATTCGGGTCTGATAGCCGGTGAGATCGGAACTCATTGTTACTTTTCCTGATGTCAAGGCAAGTTTTCGCTTTCCTTGTTTGATATCATATCAACATCTACTAGATACAAATGGCTTTCCCCTTCTAAAAAATTCTAAAAAATGTATCAAAATCCATATGTTTCTGCCCGGATTCAAACAGGGGACCATTCGCGTGTTAGCCGAACGTGATGAACCACTACACTACAGAAACTGCACAACGCAGCTTCCTGCGCCTCCAGCAAATTTGGGTCATTTAAGAATTCATATAGCTGCTAAAAACGAGAAAATTAGATGGCTACTGAAAGCTCGAAATTATTAGGCAAAGTACAGCCATCCAGCTGTTTCTGTAGTGTAGTGGTTATCTCATTCGCTTTACGCGCGAAACGTCCCTGGTTCGAAACCGGGCAGAAGCATTTGGGTCTGATAGCTATTTGAGATCGAAACTCATTGTTACTTTCCTGATGTCAATGCAAGTTTTCGCTTTCCTTGTTTGATATCATATCAACATCTACAATCACGTTAATGTTCTAAAAGTGCATCAAATTCCAATGTTTCTGTCCGGTTTTGAACCGGAGCCCTTTCGCGTGTTAGGCGAACGTGATAACCACTACACTACAGAAACTGCGCAATACATCTTCCTGCACCTCCAGAAATTTGGGTCGTTTAAGAATTCATACAACTGCTAAAAACGAGAAAAGTAGATGTCTACTGAAAGCGTGACATTTTTAGGCAAAGTACAGCCATACCGCTGTTTCTGTAGTGTAGTGGTTATCACATTCGCTTTACACGCGAAAGGTCCCTGGTTCGAAACCGGGCAGAAACATTGGGTCTGATAGCTGGTTGAGATTGGAACTCATTGATCCTTTCCTGATGTCAATGCAGATTTTGGCTTTCCTTGTTTGATATCGTGTCAACATCTCCAATTGCTTTCACGTTAAGTTCTAAAATTGCATCAATTTCCAACTGTTTCTGCCCGGTTTCGAACCAGGGACCTTTCGCGTGTTAGGCGAACGTGATAACCACTACACTACAGAAACTGCACAATGCAGCTTCCTGCACCTCCAGAAATTTGGGTCATTTAAGAATTCATACAGCTGCTAAAAACGAGAAAAGTAGATGTCTACTGAAAGTACGACATTTTAGGCAAAGTACAAATATACAGCTGTTTCTGTAGTGTAGTGGTTATCACGTTCGCTACACGCGAAAGGTCCCCGGTTCGAAACCGGGCAGAAACATTTGGGTCTGATAGCTGGTGAGATCGGAACTCATTGTTACTTTCCTGATGTCAATGCAAGTTTTCGCTTTCCTTGTTTGATATCATATCAACATCTACTAGATACAAATGGCTTTCCCTTCTAAAAAATTCTAAAAATGTATCAAAATCCATATGTTTCTGCCCGGATTCAAACAGGGGACCATTCGCGTGTTAGCCGAACGTGATAACCACTACACTACAGAAACTGCACAACGCAGCTTCCTGCGCCTCCAGAAATTTGGGTCATTTAAGAATTCATATAGCTGCTAAAAACGAGAAAATTAGATGGCTACTGAAAGCTCGAAATTATTAGGCAAAGTACAGCCATCCAGCTGTTTCTGTAGTGTAGTGGTTATCTCATTCGCTTTACGCGCGAAACGTCCCTGGTTCGAAACCGGGCAGAAGGGGAAGCATTTGGGTCTGATAGCTATTTGAGATCGAAACTCATTGTTACTTTCCTGATGTCAATGCAAGTTTTCGCTTTCCTTGTTTGATATCATATCAACATCTACAATCACGTTAATGTTCTAAAAGTGCATCAAATTCCCAATGTTTCTGTCCGGTTTTGAACCGGAGCCCTTTCGCGTGTTAGGCGAACGTGATAACCACTACACTACAGAAACTGCGCAATACATCTTCCTGCACCTCCAGAAATTTGGGTCGTTTAAGAATTCATACAACTGCTAAAAACGAGAAAAGTAGATGTCTACTGAAAGCGTGACATTTTTAGGCAAAGTACAGCCATACCGCTGTTTCTGTAGTGTAGTGGTTATCACATTCGCTTTACACGCGAAAGGTCCCTGGTTCGTAACCGGGGCAGAAACAATTGGGTCTGATAGCTGGTTGAGATTGGAACTCATTGATCCTTTCCTGATGTCAATGCAGATTTTGGCTTTCCTAGTTTGATATCGTGTCAACATCTCCCAATTGCTTTCACGTTAAAGTTCTAAAATTGCATCAATTTCCAACTGTTTCTGCCCGGTTTCGAACCAGGGACCTTTCGCGTGTTAGGCGAACGTGATAACCACTACACTACAGAAACTGCACAATACATCTTCCTGCACCTCCAGAAATTTGGGTCATTTAAGAATTCATACAGCTGCTAAAAACGAGAAAAGTAGATGTCTGCTGAAAGTACGACATTTTCAGGCAAAGTACAAATATCAGCTGTTTCTGTAGTGTAGTGGTTATCACGTTCGCTACACGCGAAAGGTCCCTGTTCGAAACCGGGCAGAAACATTTGGGTCTGATAGCTGGTGAGATCGGAACTGATTGTTACTTTCCTGATGTCAAGGCAAGTTTTCGCTTTCCTTGTTTGATATCATATCAACATCTACTAGATACAAATGGCTTTCCTTCTAAAAAATTCTAAAAATGTATCAAAATCCATATGTTTCTGCCCGGATTCAAACAGGGGACCATTCGCGTGTTAGCGAACGTGATAACCACTACACTACAGAAACTGCACAACGCAGCTTCCTGCGCCTCCAGAAATTTGGGTCATTTAGCTGCTAAAAACGAGAAAATTAGATGGCTACTGAAAGCTCGAAATTATTAGGCAAGTACAGCCATCCAGCTGTTTCTGTAGTGTAGTGGTTATCTCATTCGCTTTACGCGCGAAACGTCCTGGTTCGAAACCGGGCAGAAGCATTTGGGTCTGATAGCTATTTGAGATCGAAACTCATTGTTACTTTCCTGATGTCAATGCAAGTTTTCGCTTTCCTTGTTTGATATTATCAACATCTACAATCACGTTAATGTTCTAAAAGTGCATCAAATTCCCAATGTTTCTGTCCGGTTTTGAACCAGAGCCCTTTCGCGTGTTAGGCGAACGTGATAACCACTACACTACAGAAACTGCGCAATACATCTTCCTGCACCTCCAGAAATTTGGGTCGTTTAAGAATTCATACAACTGCTAAAAACGAGAAAAGTAGATGTCTACTGAAAGCGTGACATTTTTAGGCAAAGTACAGCCATACCGCTGTTTCTGTAGTGTAGTGGTTATCACATTCGCTTTACACGCGAAAGGTCCCTGGTTCGTAACCGGGCAGAAACAATTGGGTCTGATAGCTGGTTGAGATTGGAACTCATTGATCCTTTCCTGATGTCAATGCAGATTTTGGCTTTCCTAGTTTGATATCGTGTCAACATCTCCCAATTGCTTTCACGTTAAAGTTCTAAAATTGCATCAATTTCCAACTGTTTCTGCCCGGTTTCGAACCAGGGACCTTTCGCGTGTTAGGCGAACGTGATAACCACTACACTACAGAAACTGCACAATACATCTTCCTGCACCTCCAGAAATTTGGGTCATTTAAGAATTCATACAGCTGCTAAAAACGAGAAAAGTAGATGTCTACTGAAAGCGTGACATTTTTAGGCAAAGAACTGCCATACTGCTGTTTCTGTAGTGTAGTGGTTATCACGTTTGCCTCACATGCGAAAGTTCCCAGGTTCGAAACCGGCAGAAACATTTGGGTCTGATAGCTGGTTGAGATCGGAACTCATTGATCGTTTCCTGATGTCAATGCAGGTTTTGGATTTCTCTTGTTTGATATCCATGTCAACATTTACTAGGTACAAAGGCGCTTCCCGTTAATGTTCTAAAAATGTACAAATTCCCAGATGTTTCTGCCCGGCATTCAACAGGGGACCATTCGCGTATAGGCAATGGTGATAACCACTACACGACCAGAAACTGCACAAACGCAGCTTCCTGCACCTCCAGAAATTTGGGTCGTTTAAAGGGCGGCGCACTGTGGCAACTCTGGCCATTTCTTCGCTGGTTTTCACTTTTGTGGTCGCATGTTTTCTCAACGAGCTCCCCCTACAGGTCTGGGACGTAATTTACACAACACTGTCCGTATAAAAAACTCACTTGCGGCACCTCTCCTCCCCCTTTCTACCGCTGACTCATGTGCATTTTGTTGCCGGGTTTTTTTCGTGTGGCGCGATGTCTACCCGAGGGTGGGTAGTACATTATACACTGTATCTATAGAACTCTGACATGTATAGCCGGCGTGATTAACCGTTATTGAGGGGGGGCGAGTGTGTGTTTACCGTTGAATTACCGTAAAGCGAGTTTGAGGTTTCTCGCTACGTTCTCGCTTCTCGCGCTACTTCCTATTTCCAATTTACCGGGTGCCGTAGTACCAAGTCGCACGGCTGGTTTTCCACCGGGGGGCGCCGGGGGGAGCCGGGCGGGAGGACAGTCCACCGTTAAACCACCGGAACAGAACCATTTCAACCATCCAAATGAATTTCCAGACGGGTATAGATAAGGTTGAAAAAGGTTGGCCAACGTGACCCTTTACGAATTCATAAGCTGCGCAAAAACCGCACAAAATTAGATGATCTAACTGAAAGCACGAGATTCTTTAGGCGTAGAGACACAGTCGACAGCTGTTTCTGTAGTGTAGTGGTATCACGTTCGCTTTACACGCCGAAAGGTCCCCTGGTTCGAAAACCGGCAGACAGAAGCATTTGGGCTCTGATAGCTGTTTGAGATCGGAATTTATTGAACTCCTTTCCTGATGCTCCAATGCAAGTTTTCGCTTTCCCTTGTTTGATATCATGCTCCAAAATCTGCTAGATACAAATGGCTTTCCCCTTTAATGTTCTATAAAATGTATCAAATCCTGAAGTTTCTGCCCGGTTTCGAACCGGGGACCTTCTCGCGTGTTTGGCAAACGTGATAACCACTACACTACAGAAACTGCACAATGCAGCTTCCTGCATCTCCAGAATTTGGGTCCATTAAGAATTCATACAGCTGGCTAAAAACGAGAAAAGTAGATGTCTACTGAAAGCGTGACATTTTAGCAAAGTACAGCCAATACCGCTGTTTCTGTAGTGTAGTGGTTATCACACGTTCGCCTCCACACGCGAAAAGTTCCCCGGGTTCGAAACCGGCCAGAAACCATTTGGGTCTGATACGTGGTTGAGATCGGAACTCATTGTTACTTTCCTGACGTCAATGCAAGTTTTCGCTTTCCTTGTTCTGATATCATATCAACATCTACAATCACGTTAATGTTATAAATTGCATTAAATCCCAATGTTTCTGCCCGGTTTTGAACCGGAGCCCTTTCGCGTGTTAGGCGAAACGTGTGATAACCGCAACACTACAGAAACTGCACATGCAGCTTCCCTGCACCTCAGAAATTTGGTCGTTTAAGAACTTCATACAGCTGCTAAAAATGAGAAAAGTAGATGTCTGCCTGAAAGTACGACATTTTCAGGCAAAGTACAAATATACAACTGTTTCTGTCAGTGTAGTGGTTATCACGGTTCGCCTCACACGCGAAAGGTCCCCGGTTCGAAACCGGGCAGAACATTCGGGTCTGATAGCTGGTGAGATCGGAACTCATTGTTACTTTCCTGATGTCGAAGGCAAGTTTTCGCTTTCCTTGTTTGATATCATATCAACATCTACTAGATACAAATGCTTTCCCTTCTAAAAAATTCTAAAAATGTATCAAAATCCTATATGTTTCTGCCCGGATTCAAACAGGGGACCATTCGCGTGTTAGCCGAACGTGATAACCACTACACTACCAGAAACTGCACAACGCAGCTTCCTGCGCCTCCAGAAATTTGGGTCATTTAAGAATTCCATATAGCTGCTAAAAACGAGGAAAATTAGATGGCTACTGAAAGCTCGAAATTATTAGGCAAAGTACAGCCATCCAGCTGTTTCTGTAGTGTAGTGGTTATCTCATTCGCTTTACGCGCGGACCCAACCGTCCTGGTTCGAAACCGGGCGAAGCATTTGGGTCTGAATAGCTATTTGAGATCGAAACTGCATTGTTACTTTCCTGATGTCAATGCAAGTTTTCTCCGCTTTCCTTGTTTGATATCATATCAACATCTACAATCACGTTAATGTTCCTAAAAGTGCATCAAATTCCTGTTTCCCTTCCGGTTTTGAACGCGAGCCCTTTCGCGTTGTTAGGCGAACGTGATAACCACTACACTACAGAAACTGCGCAATACAATCTTCCTGCACCTCCAGAAATTTGGGTCGTTTAAGAATTCATACAACTGCTAAATACGAGAAAAGTAGATGTCTACTGAAAGCGTGACATTTTTAGGCAAAGTACAGGCCCTTATACCGCTGTTTCTCGTAGTGTAGTGGTTATCACGTTCTCTTTACACGCGAAAGGTCCCTCGGTTCGAAACCGGGCAGATGCATTGGGTCTGATAGCTGTTTGAGATCGGAATTTATTGATCCTTTCCCCTGATGTCAATGCAAGTTTCGCTTTCCTTGTTTGATATCGTGTCAAAATCTGCTATGATACAAATGGCTTTCCCCCTTTAATGTTCTAAAAATGTATCAATCCCTGAAGTTTCTGCCCGGTTTCGAACGGTGAACCTTTCGCGTGTTAGGCAAACGTTGATAAACACTACACTACAGAAACTTGCACAATGCAGCTTCCTGCACCTCCAGAAATTTGGGTCATTTAAGAATCTACTACAGCTGCTAAAAACGAGAAAAGTAGATGTCTACTGAAAGCGTGACCATTTTTAGGGCAAAACTACAGCCATACCGCAGTTTCTGTAGTGTAGTGGTTTTCACGTTCGCCTCAAACAGAAAGGTCCCCCGGGTTCGAAACCCGGGCAGAAATACATTTGGGTAGCTAGCTGGTTGAGATCGGAACTCATTGTTACTTTCAGACGTCAATGCAAGTTTTCCGCTTTCCTTGTTTGATATCATATCAACATCTACAATCACGTTAATGTTATAAAATTGCATTAAATTCCCAATGTTTCTGCCCGGTTTTGAACCGGAGCCTTCGCGTGTTAGGGCGAACGTGAATAACGCAACACTACAGAAACTGCACAATGCAGCTTTCCTGCACCTCCCGGAAATTTGGGTCGTTTAAGAATTCATACAGCTGCTAAAATGAGAAGAGTAGATGTCTGCTGAAAGATACGACATTTTCAGGCAAAGTACAAATATACAGCTGTTTCTGTAGTGTAGTGGTTATCACGTACGCCTCACACGCGAAAGGTCCCCTGTTCGAAACCGGGCAAGGAACATTTGGGTCTGATAGCTGGTGAGATCGGAACTCATTGTTACTTTCCCTGATGTCAAGGCAAGTTTTTCGCTTTCCTTGTTTGATATCATATCAACATCTACTAGATACAAATGGCTTTCCCTTCTAAAAAATCTAAAAATGTATCAAAATCCATATGTTTCTGCCCGGATTCAAACAGGGGACCATTCGCGTGTTAGCCGAACGTGATAACCACTACACTACAGAAACTGCACAACGCAGCTTCCTGCGCCTCCAGAAATTTGGGTCATTTAAGAATTCATATAGCTGCTAAAAACGAGAAAATTAGATGGCTACTGAAAGCTCGAAATTATTAGGCAAAGTACAGCCATCCAGCTGTTTCTGTAGTGTAGTGGTTATCTCATTCGCTTTACGCGCGAAATGTCCCTGGTTCGAAACCGGGCAGAAGCATTTGGGTCTGATAGCTATTTGAGATCGAAACTCATTGTTACTTTCCTGATGTCAATGCAAGTTTTCGCTTTCCTTGTTTGATATCATATCAACATCTACAATCACGTTAATGTTCTAAAAGTGCATCAAATTCCCAATGTTTCTGTCCGGTTTTGAACCAGAGCCCTTTCGCGTGTTAGGCGAACGTGATAACCACTACACTACAGAAACTGCGCAATACATCTTCCTGCACCTCCAGAAATTTGGGTCGTTTAAGAATTCATACAACTGCTAAAAACGGAAAAGTAGATGTCTACTGAAAGCGTGACATTTTTAGGCAAAGTACAGCCATACCGCTGTTTCTGTAGTGTAGTGGTTATCACATTCGCTTTACATGCGAAAGGTCCTGGTTCGTAACCGGGCAGAAAACAATTGGGTCTGATAGCTGGTTGAGATTGGAACTCATTGATCCTTTCCTGATGTCAATGCAGATTTTGGCTTTCCTAGTTTGATATCGTGTCAACATCTCCCAATTGCTTTCACGTTAAAGTTCTAAAATTGCATCAATTTCCAACTGTTTCTGCCCGGTTTCGAACCAGGGACCTTTCACGTGTTAGGCGAACGTGATAACCACTACACTACAGAAACTGCACAATACATCTTCCTGCACCTCCAGAAATTTGGGTCATTTAAGAATTCATACAGCTGCTAAAAACGAGAAAAGTAGATGTCTACTGAAAGCGTGACATTTTTAGGCAAAGATCTGCCATACTGCTGTTTCTGTAGTGTAGTGGTTATCACGTTTGCCTCACATGCGAAAGTTCCCAGGTTCGAAACCGGCAGAAACATTTGGGTCTGATAGCTGGTTGAGATCGGAACTCATTGATCGTTTCCTGATGTCAATGCAGGTTTTGGATTTTCTTGTTTGATATCATGTCAACATTTACTAGGTACAAATGGCCTTCCCGTTAATGTTCTAAAAATGTATCAAATTCCAGATGTTTCTGCCCGGATTCAAACAGGGGACCATTCGCGTATTAGGCAATGGTGATAACCACTACACGACAGAAACTGCACAACGCAGCTTCTGCACCTCCAGAAATTTGGGTCGTTTAAAGGGGCACTTGGCAACTCTGGCCATTTCTTCGCTGGTTTTCACTTTTGTGGTCGCATGTTTTCTCAACGAGCTCCCCCTACAGGTCTGGGACGTATATTACACAACACTGTCGTAAAAAAAACTCACTTGCGGCACCCTCCTCCCCTTTCTACCGCTGCTCATGTGCATTTGTTGCCGGGTTTTTTCGTGTGGCGCGATGTCTACCGAGGTGGGTAATACATTATACACTGTATCATAGAACACTGACATGTATAGCCGGCGTGATTAACCGTTATTGAGGGGGCGTGTGTGTTTACGTTGAATTACCGTAAAGCAGTTTGTGTTTCTCGCTCGTTCTCGCTTCTCGCGATACTTCCCATTTCCAATTTACCGGGACGGTAGTCCCAAAGTTGCAAGGCTGGTTTTCCACGGGGGGCGCCGGGGGGAGCGGGGACAGTCACCGTTAACACCGGAACAGACCATTTAACCATCCAAATGATTTCCAGACGGGTTTATTAAGTTGAAAAAGTTGCCAAGTGCCCTTTAAGAATTCATATAGCTGCTAAAAACGCCAAAATTAGATGTCTACTGAAAGCACGAGATTTTTAGGCGTAGAACACAGTCGCAGCTGTTTCTGTAGTGTAGTGGTTATCACGTTCGCTTTACACGCGAAAGGTCCCTGGTTCGAAAGGGCAGAAGCATTTGGGTCTGATAGCTGTTTGAGATCGGAATTTATTGATCCTTTCCTGATGTCAATGCAAGTTTTCGCTTTCCTTGTTTGATATCATGTCAAAATCTGCTAGATACAAATGGCTTTCCCTTTAATGTTCTAAAAATGTATCAAATCCTGAAGTTTCTGCCCGGTTTCGAACCGGGGACCTTTCGCGTGTTTGGCAAACGTGATAACCACTACACTACAGAAACTGCACAATGCAGCTTCCTGCATCTCCAGAAATTTGGGTCATTTAAGAATTCATACAGCTGCTAAAAACGAGAAAAGTAGATGTCTACTGAAAGCGTGACATTTTTAGGCAAAGTACAGCCATACCGCTGTTTCTGTAGTGTAGTGGTTATCACGTTCGCCTCACACGCGAAAAGTTCCCGGGTTCGAAACCGGGCAGAAACATTTGGGTCTGATAGCTGGTTGAGATCGGAACTCATTGTTACTTTCCTGACGTCAATGCAAGTTTTCGCTTTCCTTGTTTGATATCATATCAACATCTACAATCACGTTAATGTTATAAAATTGCATTAAATTCCCAATGTTTCTGCCCGGTTTTGAACCGGAGCCCTTTCGCGTGTTAGGCGAACGTGATAACCGCAACACTACAGAAACTGCACAATGCAGCTTCCTGCACCTCCAGAAATTTGGGTCGTTTAAGAATTCATACAGCTGCTAAAAATGAGAAAAGTAGATGTCTGCTGAAAGTACGACATTTTCAGGCAAAGTACAAATATACAACTGTTTCTGTAGTGTAGTGGTTATCACGTTCGCCTCACACGCGAAGGCCAGCCGAATATAGCTATAACGAACTTCCAGCCAATCACGTCGATGGACCCATATTTTTGGCCGGTTCTTCAGTCAGCCAATAGAAATGTTCAACTTATTTCAGAACTTTGTTTGATACCTCGGTTCAAATCCGTTGCAATCCGGGCAATTCAACTAATGTTGAATTGCCTGGATTGTTTTCCTAACAATTGAACTAATGTTGAATTGCCTGGATTGTTTTCCTAACAATTGTATATTATATATTATAGTCCTTAAATGTAGACCATCATTATCAATACTAATTATTTCTCCTACAAAAGATGAGGGGATAAACTATGATCAATGCCTTTGTGCAAACACACCTGTGTATTTGTGTAGTGTAAAAAGCTTAGCTTAACTTGTAATATAAATGCATTGCATATTTGGTTAACGTTGACTGCCTTTGCAATTATAATATAAGGTATGCATATTCTGTATAAGGACAATATCAATGTCTTCGCTTTAGTTTGAGTTGATTAATAAAAACACATGTACAGAACAAATATACAGATATAGCAAAGATAGACACTGTTAGGGAACAGGACGGGTGGACCCAAGCCTTAAGTCCTTAAATGTAGACCATCATTATATCAATACTAATTATTTCTCCTACAAAGATGAGGGGATAAACTATGATCAATGCCTTTGTGCAACACACACCTGTGTATTTGTTTAGTGTAAAAAGCTTAGCTTAACTTGTAATATAAATGCATTGCTTATTTGGTTAACGTTGACTGCCTTTGCAATTATAATATAAGGTATGCATATTCTGTATAAGGACAATATCAATGTCTTCGCTTTAGTTTGAGTTGATTAATAAAAACACATGTACAGAACAAATATACAGATATAGCAAAGATAGACATGTTAGGGAAAAGGACGGGTGGACCCAAGCGCTGAAACAGGGAGGCGGAGGGGATGAAAAGACAGGGACTTTATTTACACAAAAGGGAAATAGCAACAGGCCAGGCTAGGGCGGTAATAGGGCAGGCGGGGGTTCGGCATCAGGCAGGTAGTCGGACAGGCGAGGGGTTTGGCAACAAGCGGGCAGTCGGACAGGCGAGGGGTCGGCAACAAGGGGCAGTCGGACAGGCGAGGGGTCGGCAACAAGCGGGCAGTCGGACAGGCGGGGTTCGGCAACAAGCGGGCAGTCGGACAGGCGAGGGGTCGGCAACAAGCGGGCAGTCGGACAGGCGGGGTTCGGCAACAAGCGGGCAGTCGGACAGGCGAGGGGTCGGCAACAAGCGGGCAGTCGGACAGGCGAGGGGTCGGCAACAAGCGGGCAGTCGGACAGGTGAGGGGTCGGCAACAAGCGGGCAGTCGGACAGGCGGGGTTCGGCAACAAGCGGGCAGTCGGACAGGCGAGGGGTCGGCAACAAGTGGGCAGTCGGACAGGCGGGGTTCGGCAACAGGCGGGTAGTCAGGCAGGCGGGGTTCGGCAACAGGGGGTAGTCAGGCAGGCGGGGTTCGGCAACAGGCGGGTAGTCAGGCAGGCGGGGTTCAGTAACAGACAGGTACTGGATCACTGGTAAGAGGTTTGGTAGACAAGAGCACGAA